TTGTTATAATGGCTATTACATTTTTTGCATTAATCATTTATAAAATACTGTCGATTGTTGCATTGCCCACAACATAATGGCAACAACAATTCAATAAACTCTATTTCAAGTTTTATACAAAGATCAGCAGCCCTTCAATATGTCAAAGGATTAAGGGGGAGGCGGCTTATATGGACAACACAGATTAATATTATTAGGTCACAGATACTTACAAAAGTAAGTTACAATATTTTTAGAAATATATATATTTTAGCCGTTGTGTTACTGTTTATCCTTTTTTTTAAATCAAGTTATTTTTAATCTCCCTTGATCAGCTTGAAGTGATAGACTTATTAGTAAATTTGAATGATATAGCGCTAACACTACCAGATTGTGTGGTACCTGTTTGCTTCACATGTTTGACATCACACACATGTGGTGAATTAATGTGTGTAAAACTTTGAATTATGTGTTTGAAACGTAATATGCTGAGTGTCATATCGACTTTGATATTCTTTGATATATAATTGAAAAACAAGTGAATAATGATCTATACACTTTGATCTGCTTACTCCCTATGTTAGAAATGTTGATCATAAGATCTGCAATTAGTCTATCATTCAACGTTGTAATAATGTATGTAAGGGTTCTTCATTGATTGCACATTTGCTCCCTGGTTCAAAGGTTCATACTCAATAAGCAACTACAAAGGTTGGTAGTGATGTCTTTTGTCTCCTTGATGAGCCTGTTTCGTCCATGTTCCCAGTATTTTTTCCTTCTTAGTTATAAACTTATATCATTAAATAATTCAATAACATGGGATCACTATTCTTCATATCATATAGATCTAAACCATAAGTTGCAATCTGTGATCCAGAGTTTAAAACATCTTAAGCTCAATATGCTTTGTGCCAATGGCATACACAATCAAAAGAGCTCGTGGATGGCAGGTTGGAGTGCTTCATCCACAAAGGGTTTGCACCAAATGATGGATTCCCTTGCGAATGATCTAATTAGCTCACACCAGCTTCAAGCACAGGAACACACATCATAGATGCCGCCAGAACAACAACCACAACAAACTTTTGGTGACGATCTTATGGGTCAATGGCAGCAACCATGGAAGTTTTGATAATATTTAATTTTAGACATTTGATTTTGGGAGGCGTACTTCATTTTAAGAACTATTCTAGTAGGACTTTCTATGTGTGGGAATGATATTTATCCTTGCTAAGTCTTATTTCGTTGTTTTGAACTTATTTCAGTTGTTTATTGTAGTTCATCTATTGTATATAATTTCTTTTGGTTGCAACTTATTTTATTTAATTGAGTCTTTTTGCTTTGATGGGTTATTGCATTTATACCAGTGCATGGTCATTCTTTAGACTTACGTCTTCTCTGGGTTGTACCTGCTGCCAGCGGCATCGCAGCATTTCTCCACATACATTTGTGGTGCCTCTTCCTACCAGGACCACCATTTTCTAGTCCTCTTCATCATGCTCGGCTGACCACGCACAGCCATTGTCGGACTTAGAGCTGCCTCCACTGTGGTCGAGCCTAGAAATACGACAGTATGGTCTGTCGCCTTTAGGACACTTACACAGTATGGTCTGCCTAGCAGTAGCAGCATTCCCTAGAACTGTAACGGTTCCATGCCCATTTATTTCTAGTCGGAGGAGCAAGCACGCTACAACAGCTGAGAGACCTGCTATCTCTGTGGTCATCTACTGTGAGCAGCAGCTACGACCAGAGCATGGGGAGTAGTGTCGTGGGTAGTTGGGCAGCCAAGCTGGCGTTGGCCAACAAGTTCGACATGATGAGCATTGGTTGCTACAGCAGTAGTGCTGGGGCGAAAATGCCCTAGAACTACATATCCTTATTTGTGGAAAACTGCACTGCCCTTGTGCCCGTCGTGCCAAAGCTGATACTTGGGCGTATATGGACAAACCTAGGTTGCCACCACGTGCTTGACTCTTGGAGCTAGCTAGCAAGCAACATGTCACGAAGGGGCTGCACCAAGGAGCACTTCTTCTCTGAAGCTGACATGGAGACGATCAATATGGACAATCGACTCAAGGATCTCGTGAAAATAGATTCTAAGATGGTCAAGAAGTACGTTCGTTCATGGATTTCCAATATGTCATGTTCAATTTTGTAGTGGCCATGCATGTGGGGTATATATTCATCAAAGTGCTCAACCTTTTAGTTTTGCCTCTGATGTTCTTAATTTCCTCCATTTCAATTCTTCTATAAAATTGCAGGATTCTCCGTAACCGGGAATACGCATGACACAAGAAAGAGGGTGCAAAAAGCAAACCACATCCAAGATCTTGTTGCACGGGGTGATGCACTAAAGATGTAGTGCAGGTCATTATCTCCACAAGTGCAGTCACAACAGGTTTGTACTATAGTTGTGTGTCGACCACAACATCCAGGAGAAATAACATTATTTCTGGAGCGACGATGTAAGTGGTTGATATTTATATTATTTGTCTATCCAGGAGATGCTTGATAACCTCTCGAGACGAGAGAGGCGCGAGGTGCAAATAAAGTTAAAGGGGCTGAATGAGCAAGCAAAATTTGAAACAAGGTGAGCTTGTTTGTTGTTGCCTTGTAGTCAAGGGTTAATTCATTTAAGTTTAGATCTTGGAGTGTGTTAGATGATGGTATGCATGCTTTGCAAAAATATATACAATTCAATAGTTTCGAGTTCTTTAAGTTGATGAATCCTTGATGGACGACTTTCCTCCTCAAGTCATTTAGTTTTTGGATTGCACGTATATAAGGTTCTACAGAGTGTTGTGTATAGAAGAAAATGGGACATTTCCTTGAGTCTCACTCTATCCTTCCCTATACTTGGAGCTCCAACACAGCAAAAAACTAGATAGACGCATGGGTATAAGGTTGAGCAATCTCTCCGTGCGTATTTTCTTGGATGTTCAAAATGTTTGTCATACATTTAATTGTGCCATCGTTTTGTGGCTACTATTCATAGATTTTCCAATTCGTAGTTGTGTGTGTTGCAAATTTTTTTGTTATAATGGCTATTACATTTTTTGCATTAAACATTTATAAAATACTATCGTTTGTTGCATTGCCCACAACATAATGGCAACAACAATTCAATAAACTCTATTTCAAGTTTTCTACAAAGATCAGCAGCCCTTCAATATGTCAAAGGATTAAGGGGGAGGGGGCTTATATGGACAACACAGATTAATATTATTGGGTCACAGATACTTACAAAAGTAAGTTACAATATTTTTAGAACTATATATATTTTAGCCGATGTGTTACTGTTTATCCTTTTTTTGAAATCAAGTTATTTTTAATCTCCCTTGATCAGCTTGAAGTGATAGACTTATTAGTAAATTCAAATGATATAGCGCTAACACTGCCAGATTGTGTGGCATCTGTTTGCTTCACATGTTTGACATCACACACATGTGGTGAATTAATCTGTGTAAAACTTTGAATTATGTGTTTAAAACGTAATATCTTTGAGTGTCATATCGACTTTGATGTTCTTTGATATATAATTGAAAAACAAGTGAATAATGATCTATAAACTTTGATCTGCTTACTCCCTATGTTAGAAATGTTGATCATAAGATCTGCAATTAGTCTATCATTCAACGTTGTAATAATGTATGTAAGGGTTCTTCATTGATTGCACATTTGCTCCCTGGTTCAAAGGTTCATACTCAATAAGCAACTACAAAGGTTGGTAGTGATGTCTTTTGTCTCCTTGATGAGCCTGTTTCGTCCATGTTCCCAGTATTTTTTCCTTCTTAGTTATAAACTTATATCATTAAATAATTCAATAACATGGGATCACTATTCTTCATATCATATAGATCTAAACCATAAGTTGCAATCTGTGATCCAGAGTTTAAAACATCTTAAGCTCAATATGCTTTGTGCCAATGGCATACACAATCAAAAGAGCTCGTGGATGGCAGGTTGGAGTGCTTCATCCACAAAGGGTTTGCACCAAATGATGGATTCCCTTGCGAATGATCTAATTAGCTCACACACCGACTTCAAGCACAGGAACACACATCATAGATGCAGCCAGAACAACAACCACATCAAACTTTTGGTGACGATCTTATGGGTCAATGGCAGCAGCCATGGAAGTTTTGATAATATTTAATTTTAGACATTTGATTTTGGGAGGCATACTTCATTTTAAGAACTATTCTAGTAGGACTTTCTATGTGTGGGAATGATATTTATCCTTGCTAAGTCTTATTTCGTTGTTTTGAACTTATTTCAGTTGTTTATTGTAGTTCATCTATTGTATATAATTTCTTTTGGTTGCAACTTATTTTATTTAATTGAGTCTTTTTGCTTTGATGGGTTATTGCATTTATACCAGTGCATGGTCATTCTTTAGACTTACGTCTTCTCTGGGTTGTACCTGCTGCCAGCGGCATCGCAGCATTTCTCCACATACATTTGTGGCGCCTCTTCCTACCAGGACCACCATTTTCTAGTCCTCTTCATCATGCTCGGCTGACCACTTACAGCCATTGTCGGACTCAGAGCTGCCACCACTGCGGTCGAGCCTAGAAATACGACAGTATGGTCTGCCGCCTTTAGGACACTTACACAGTATGGTTTGCCTAGCGAGAGCAGACATTCCCCAGGCTGTAATGGTTCCATGCCCATTTATTTCTAGTCGGAGGAGGAGCAAGCACGCTACAATAGGTGAGAGAGACCTGCTATCTCTGTGGTCATCTACTATGAGCAAAGGCAGCTATGACAAGAGCATGGGGGAGTAGTGTCGTGGGTCGTTGGGCAGCCAAGCTGGCGTTGGCCAACAAGTTCGACATGATGAGCATTGGTTGCTACAGCAGTAGTGCTGGGGCGAAAATGCCCTAGAACTACATATCCTTATTTGTGGAAAACTGCAATGCCCTTGTGCCCGTCGTGCCAAAGCTGATACTTGGGCGTATATGGACAAACCTAGGTTGCCACCACGGTCGCCAGCTCTTGGAGCTAGCGCTAGCAGCAACATGTCGCGAAGGGGCTGCACCAAGGAGCACTTCTTCTCTGAAGCTGACATGGAGACGATCAATATGGACAATCGACTCAAGGATCTCGTGAAAATAGATTCTAAGATGGTCAAGAAGTACGTTCGTTCATGGATTTCCAATATCTCATGTTCAATTTTGTAGTGGCCATGCATGTGGGGTATATATTCATCAAAGTGCTCAACCTTTTAGTTTTGCCTCTGATGTTCTTAATTTCCTCCATTTCAATTCTTCTATAAAATTGCAGGATTCTCCATAACCGGGAATACGCAAGCACAAAGATGAGAGGTGCAAAAAAGCAAACCACATCCAAGATCTTCAGCGCCGGGCTGATGCACTAAAGATGTAGTGCAGGTCATTATCTCCACAAGTGCAGTCACAGCAGGTTTGTACTATAGTTGTGTGCCGACCACAACATCCAGGAGAAATAACATTATTTCTGGAGCGATGATGTAAGTGGTTGATATTTATATTATTTGTCTATCTAGGAGATGCTTGATAACCTCAGGATAGAGAACTGCGAGGTGCAAATAAAGTTAAAGGGGCTGAATGAGCAAGCAAAATTTGAAACAAGGTGAGCTTGTTTGTTGTTGCCTTGTAGTCAAGGGTTAATTCATTTAAGTTTAGATCTTGGAGTGTGTTAGATGATGGTATGCATGCTTTGCAAAAATATATACAATTCAATAGTTTCGAGTTCTTTAAGTTGATGAATCCTTGATGGACGACTTTCCTCCTCAAGTCATTTAGTTTTTGGATTGCACGTATATAAGGTTCTACAGAGTGTAGTGTATAGAAGAAAATGGGACATTTCCTTGAGTCTCACCCTGTCCTTCCCTATACTTGGAGCTCCAACACAGCAAAAAACTAGATAGACGCATGGGTATAAGGTTGACCAATCTCTCAGTGCATATTTTCTTGGATGTTCAAAATGTTTGTCATACATTTAATTGTGCCATCGTTTTGTGGCTACTATTCATAGATTTTCCAATTCGTAGTTGTGTGTGTTGCAAATTTTTTTGTTATAATGGCTATTACATTTTTTGCATTAATCATTTATAAAATACTGTCGATTGTTGCATTGCCCACAACATAATGGCAACAACAATTCAATAAACTCTATTTCAAGTTTTATACAAAGATCAGCAGCCCTTCAATATGTCAAAGGATTAAGGGGGAGGCGGCTTATATGGACAACACAGATTAATATTATTAGGTCACAGATACTTACAAAAGTAAGTTACAATATTTTTAGAAATATATATATTTTAGCCGTTGTGTTACTGTTTATCCTTTTTTTTAAATCAAGTTATTTTTAATCTCCCTTGATCAGCTTGAAGTGATAGACTTATTAGTAAATTGGAATGATATAGCGCTAACACTACCAGATTGTGTGGCATCTGTTTGCTTCACATGTTTGAAATCACACACATGTGGTGAATTAATGTGTGTAAAACTTTGAATTATGTGTTTGAAACGTAATATGCTGAGTGTCATATCGACATTGATATTCTTTGATATATAGTTGAAAAACAAGTGAATAATGATCTATACACTTTGATCTGCTTACTCCCTATATTAGAAATGTTGATCATAAGATCTGCAATTAATCTATCATTCAACGTTGTAATAATGTATGTAAGGGTTCTTCATTGATTGCACATTTGCTCCCTGGTTCAAAGGTTCATACTCAATAAGCAACTACCAATGTTGGTAGTGATGTCTTTTGTCTCCTCGATGAGCCTGTTTTGTCCATATTCCCAGTATTTTTTCCTTCTTATTTATAAACTTATATCATCAAATAATTCTATAACATGGGATCACTATTCTTCATATCATATAGATCTAAATCATAAGTTGCAATCTGTGATCCAGAGTTTAAAACATCTTAAGCTCAATATGCTTTGTGCCAATGGCATACACAATCAAAAGAGCTCGTGGATGGCAGGTTGGAGTGCTTCATCCACAAAGGGTTTGCACCAAATGATGGATTCCCATGCGAATGATCTAATTAGCTCACACCAGCTTCAAGCACAGGAACACACATCACAGATGCAGCCAGAACAACAACCACATCAAACTTTTGGTGACGATCTTATGGGTCAATGGCAGCAGCCATGGAAGTTTTGATAATATTTATTTTTAGACATTTGATTTCGGGAGGCATACTTCATATTAAGAACTATTCTAGTAGGACTTTCTATGTGTGGGAATGATATTTATCCTTGCTAAGTCTTATTTCGTTGTTTTGAACTTATTTCAGTTGTTTATTGTAGTTCATCTATTGTATATAATTTCTTTAGGTTGGAACTTATTTTATTTAATTGTGTCTTTTTACTTTGATGGGTTATTGCATTTATCCCAGTGCATGGTCATTCTTTAGACTTACGTCTTCTCTGGGTTGTACCCGCTGCCAGTGGCATCGCAGCATTTCTCCACATACATTTGTGGTGCCTCTTCCTACCAGGACCACCATTTTCTAGTCCTCTTCATCATGCTCGGCTGACCACGCACAACCATTGTCGGACTCAGAGCTGCCTCCATTGTGGTCGAGCCTAGAAATACGACAGTATGGTCTGCCGCCTTTAGGACACTTACACAGTATGGTCTGCCTAGCAGTAGCAGCATTCCCTAGAACTGTAACGGTTCCATGCCCATTTATTTCTAGTCGGAGGAGCAAGCGCTACAACAATTTGAGAGAGACTGCTATCTCTGTGGTCATCATCGTGAAGAGCTGCGACAAGAGCATGGGGGGAGTAGTGTCACGTGGGTGCGTTTGGGCAGCCCATCTTGGCGTTGGCCAACAAGTTCGACATGATGAGCATTGGTTGCTGCAGCAGTAGCGCTGGGGCGAAAATGCCCTAGAACTACATATCCTTATTTGTGGAAAACTGCACTGCCCTTGTGCCCATCATGCCAAAGCTGATACTTGGGCGTATATGGACAAACCTAGGTTGCCATCATGGTTGCCAGCTCTTGGAGCTAGCGCTAGCAGCAACATGTCATGAAGGGGCTGCACCAAGGAGCAATTCTTCTCTCAAGCTGACATGGAGACAATCAATATGGACAATAGACTCAAGGATCTCGGTAAAATAGATTCTAAGATGGTCAAGAAGTACGTTTGTTCATGGATTTCCAATATCTCAAGTTCAATTTTGTAGTGGCCATGCATGTGGGGTATATATTCATCAAAGTGTTCAACCTTTTAGTTTTGCCTCTGATGTTCTTAATTTCCTCCATTTCAATTCTTCTATAAAATTGCAGGATTCTCTCAGAATCGGGAATACGCAAACATGTTAGATTGGTGCAAAAAGCAAACCACATCCAAGATCTTTCAAATATGGGGTGATGCACTAAAAAGATGTAGTGCAGGTCATTATCTCCACAAGTGCGATCACAGCAGAAGTTTGTACTATAGTTGTGTGCCGACCACAACATCCGGGAGAAATAACATTATTTACGGAGCGATGATGTAAGTGGTTGATATTTATATTATTTGTCTATCTAGGAGATGCTTGATAACCTCGGGATAGAGAACTGCGAGGTGCAAATAAAGTTAAAGGAAATTTGAATGAGCAAGCAAAATTTGAAACAAGGTGAAGCTTTTTGTTGTTGCCTTGTAGTCAAGGGTTAATTCATTTAAGTTTAGATCTTGGAGTGTGTTAGATGATGGTATGCATGCTTTGCAAAAATTTATACAATTCAATAGTTTTGAGTTCTTTATGTTGATAAATCCATGATGGACGACTGTCCTCCTCAACTCGTTTAGTTTTTGGATTGCACATATATAAGGTTCTGCAGAGTGTTGTGTATAGAAAAAAATGGGACATTTCCTTGAGTCTCAATCTATCCTTCCCTATACTTGGAGCTCCAACACAGCAAAAAACTAGATAGACGCATGGGTATACGGTTGAGCAATCTCTCCGCGCGTATTTTCTTGGATGTTCAAAATGTTTGGCATACATTTAATTGTGCCATCGTTTTGTGGCTACTATTCATAGATTTTCCAATTCGTAGTTGTGTGTGTTGCAAATTTTTTTTGTTATAATGGCTATTACATTTTTTGCATTAATCATTTATAAAATACTATCGTTTGTTGCATTGCCCACAACATAATGGCAACAACAATTCAATAAACTCTATTTCAAGTTTTCTACAAAGATCAATGACCCTTCAATATGTCAAAGGATTAAGGGGAGGGGCATATATGGACAACACAGATTAATATTATTGGGTCATAGATACTTACAAAAGTAAGTTACAATATTTTTAGAACTATATATATTTTAGCCGATGTGTTATTCTTGTTTATCCTTTTTTTGAAATCAAGTTATTTTTAATCTCCCTTGATCAGCTTGAAGTGATAGACTTATTAGTAAATTCAAATGATATAGCGCTAACACTACGCCAGATTGTGTGGCATCTGTTTGCTTCACATGTTTGACATCACACACATGTGGTGAATTAATGTGTAAAACTTTGAATTATGTGTTTGAAACGTAATATCTTTGAGTGTCATATCGACTTTGATATTCTTTGATATATAATTGAAAAACATGTGAATAATGATCTATACACTTTGATCTCGCTTACTCCCTATATTAGAAATGTTGATCATAAGATCTGCAATTAATCTATCATTCAACGTTGTAATAATGTATGTAAGGGTTCTTCATTGATTGCACATTTTGCTCCCCTGGTTCAAAGGTTCATACCCAATAAGCAACTACAAATGTTGGTAGTGATGTCTTTTGTCTCCTTGATGAGCCTATTTCGTCCATGTTCCCAGTATTTTTCCTTCTTGTTTATAAACTTATATCATCAAATAATTCTATAACATGGGATCACTATTCTTCATATCATACAGATCAAAATCATAAGTTGCAATCTGAGATCCGAGTTTAAAACATCTTAAGCTCAATATGCTTTGTGCCAATGGCATACACAATCAAAAGAGCTCGTGGATGGCAGGTTGGAGTGCTTCATCCACAAAGGGTTTGCACCAAATGATGGATTCCCATGCAAATGATCTAATTAGCTCACACCGACTTCAAGCACGGGAACACACATCATAGATGCAGCCGAACAACAACCACATCAAACTTTTGATGACGATCTTATGGGTCAATGGGCAGCAGCCATGGAAGTTTTGATAATATTTATTTTAGACATTTGATTTTGGGAGGCATACTTCATATTAAGAACTATTCTAGTAGGACTTTCTATGTGTGGGAATGATATTTATCCTTGCTAAGTCTTATTTCGTTGTTTTGAACTTATTTCAGTTGTTTATTGTAGTTCATCTATTGTATATAATTTCTTTTAGGTTGGAACTTATTTTATT